GCACAGGGGAGGTCCTTAGGAGAAGCCTGTCAACAAACTTTATCGTGAATATAGCAGAAAGCTATTGTAGTTCCTGTTTTCTGAGTAATTTCTGGTTTCTGTTCTGTCTTTTGTATTCTCCTGTCATTTTCCTCTTTCCTTAACCTTGGTTGGAGACCAATTTTTGTGCTGAGTCCTTCTCATAGAGTAACCTTGTTAACTTCATACGTCAACACCCTGATAACATATCAATCACAAAGTTGCAGTCAGAGAACTGACTTTCTATTCAAGGCAAGGAGAATGGTTAAGAGTTGGAGAGGGACCAGATCACTGAGGGGCAAGTACACTGTGGGTAGTGTAGCAGCAGCAGCAGTCTGTATCACTCAACCTTGGACTTCCCCCAGAAATTAAGATACTCATCAGATAAAGATAACCCTCTACTGTGCATTCTAATACCAGTGGATCATGTCTTGGAGACTGACATAACTTGAACCAACCTGAGGCCTCAGTAGATGTAAGCAAATTAATGCAAGAACACCTAGGTAGATTTCATCATAACGTGCCTATCTGTATACTCATGCTTCTGTTAGTACAGCAGTGTTTTCTCTCTATTGCCCTTCTCATTAAATACAAGATGGACCAGATTTCCATGCGCTAACTGGTACTACTGAAATCTGCATTAGCCTGTTTAACAGCCGGTCTACTTCTCAGGGAATTAAAAACAGATCCCTAAGCTGCCATAGTAAAAAGATGGGATAAATTTTGGGGGTTTGACCTGAGGGGGCTTCAGAGCTAGAGAATGTAGTGCATCTGTTTCCAGATTCACTTCAGTCTTTTTGCTGGGACCCTGAATAATCGATCATTCCTTAATTATCTGACTTAGTATAATCAGAGTCTATGATGTCTTAAAAGGATCACATCTCAGTTGGAAATCTTCTTGATTCATCACTTCCTGTGAAAACCTCCTTGTGCTCAGACTGCCCTGGTAATTACTTGCTCATTATTAGGGTAGGGCAAAAGGCCTAAAAAGATCTGTGAGCTCACTGAAGACACTTGGTGTGACAAAAAGGCATGACTGTTCTTTGGGGATTAGGTAAGTGAATGCAAACAGCATTTGCTATCTCTGAAGTCAAAACAATGCAATTGTAAAATTTAATGGTAATCAAATCAAAGATCAGTATTTAGAAGAATTTGGATAATAATTTAAATGTTACTATCAGCATTAGCTACAATTACACACTGTGCTTTAATGTGCTACAGAACTACTGTTTTCATGCTGTATTAAACATATTTATACTCATCCAATCTTGGGAGCGAAGAATTTTAGAGTGACTAGGACTTGGAGATTGGCCATCCTGGACTAAATTTGCACCCACTGAGAAGCTGAGGTCAAATACTTGAAGAATGTTAGATTGGAGAAGCAGAAGGAAAAAGAGCTTTCAAACATACTAACAGACTAGAACCAAGCATCAATAAAATACTGCTACAGATAGGAGTAAAACAGACAACTGCTGAGGATTTTCAGTTCATTCTGACAGTTTTTAATTCTTACATTTGTTGAGATTGAAAAACTGTATTTCCAGTAATCCCTTTGATTAATCCTAGAATACAGGGTTGTAGCAGATTGGCTTTAGGCCATTCCTTAAATTGTAGTGAGACTTTTGGGTTTTGCTTTCCAATTTTATTGCACTGGCGTTTGTCCATTTGCAATCTAATAATTACTGGCAATTGAAGCACTTCAGCAAGCTAACATATCCCACTGAGCTGAGAAGATTCTGAAATGCTGAGGTAGAAGAATATCAAAATGTCAACATGCTGCAGTTAAAAGCAGCTGTGTAAGAGTCAGATACAATGACTTCTGTTCACCTTCGAGGGTAAAATTGGCAGGTATATAGTTTTGTCTTTAACTCTGGTAAAAGGTGCTTATGGAAAGGTTATTTAGCAGTCTGTTTTTTCTGATAAAGTGTGAGAGATTATTCACTCTTTAAGGGCTCATGTTTTTTCATGTGGAAAAAGCTAGTATTCACACTGGATTAACAGGCACATCCATATAAACTCATGTAACGTTGGGACGAACCCTAGGTTGTGGTTAGTACTTCCGAGAATAGCAGGAGTTACAGGAAAAGCAAGAGAGATTATCATAGTTTGCAGTGTTAGGTAGAAGATGTAAAGTTTAAAAGAAAAGGCCTTGCTTAGCTTGGCAAAGGGAAGGGGGATACATAGACATACTCTGGTAGGTCATGTTCCCTAATAGAATAAAAATCTAACTCTTAAGGATCAGTGGTCCTTGGAGCAGATTACTGGGGGAACCTCTCTCTTCAGAGAGAATTACTCCAGCAATTGTCAAGAATGGATTAAGTTCGTCTTGGGGCTGGGGGACAGATTGTGTCATCCCTCAGTGTCCCTTCAGAAAAAGCTATTGGTTGATGTAGTGCAGTTGTCCCAGCCTGAATCACCCTGTTGTGTAACCATAGGCATAGTACTGCAGATTGTCTCTAGTGACACAGTATGAGACCAGCTAAGTCCCAGCTATTTTTCACTCACATCTTCTTGAATTAGTTGGTTTTTTTGCATAGCAGTTGATAGCCTCTCCAGAGCAAAGATTACATCACCTCCTTCCCAGTCCAAAATCAATCTGCACAAACCCCAACCTTAGTGCTGTGAACAGGGTATGTATGTAAGCCTGTTCTTCAAATAATCACTGGGTTTGCAGTGCCTGTATTTGCAGAGCATTTCAAAAGCCTGTTCCTGGAAACACTAATATGCTCTTCCATGCTTTTATGTTAGTGGTTGGGCAGATGTCTGACAGGACAGATGACTTGAAACAAGAATTACACAACTCCAAGGTGGCAATGCCTCCTTGTACATCAGCTTTTTTTCTATAGTGCTTGGTCACAGTGACTACTCTGTATATTTAATACGGTTTATGGGCAATGGTGTCATTGTAAGTGATCTAGCAATATGATTGCAGGAACAACCAATACACAAATCCAAACCTGAAAATCCTATTCATGGATGGAAGCACCAGTCGTGTTGCTCTATAGCTTTACTTCAATTACTTTATTCTGCTTGTTTCTGTCAGGCAGAGCCACAGCACTGAACTCTTTGTTCTAGCTTCTTGCCTAGTCCTTTATGCATTTTAGTGAGCTAGTTTCACATCTAAATGCATTAGCTTATCTGAGACTGCTTATTTTGTATCTCACCAGAACTATTAAGATCTATGGGCAGACTTAATGTAGGTTTCTAAATTTGAAAGCTCCATGGTAAGTGTTAGTGTTTTAGCCTTGGAACTTGCTGTCTTCATAATTCTGCTTGGCATACGAGAATCTGAAGCTTCAAAGCACAATGTGATGCCCTTGTTCTTCTGTAAGTTCTTACCTGCTTTTTTTTCCCCTTGTCTCCTTTTTAGGGAGAGGTTTGCTGCTTTTTTTTCCTTTTTTTTTTTTTTTTTTCATTTGGCTTACCTTTTTCTGTGCAGACCCATTGCTGGTGTTTTAGTGGCAACGTGTACTTCAAAAGGCAATGAAACTACATAAATGCCCCATCCCTGGCAGTGTTCAAGGCCAGGCTGGACACAGGGGCTTGCAGCCACCTGCTCTAGTGGAAGGTTGGAACTGGATGAGCTTTAAGGTCCTTTCCAACCCAAACTATTCTATGATTTTATGATTCTATGAAATACAACAACATTTTTGCTAAAAAGCCATTGTCCCTGTAATGCACTATTTACCAAATGATTGTCTTGGTCAGTAACACAGAGGCCAAATTTACAGTACAAACTAATCCTGTACTTTAGCTGTTGCATACATGAAAGTTTCTGTGAAACCTCAAAAATAAACAAACTACCCAGAGGAAGTTTTCTGTATAGCGGACAAATGAAAAAGTGGAGAAGAATAATCTCTCCTTGAGGATCTTTCTCTGGGGTAAGCAGAAAAGAAAGGCAGTTTGTGATGCATTGTTAACAAAAAAGAACAAAGGCTGTCTACTTCTGTGAGGAAATAGCATGCTTAGACACTTTTTTCTCTCTACACCAGTGTGCATTTTCTTCACTATATAAAATAACTTGAGTTTTCTTAACAGTGCTCATGCTGCACAGACTGGAAGTGTTGTTTTTCAGGCTTTAAGGCAGCATCATCAGCCTCAAGAAAACTTGCCACTTCATCCCTGTCCTAACCCCAGCCCACATACAAATCTTTAAGTTAAAGTTCAAGCTTGAGCTAGCTCGCCTGGCAGAAATAGGTTGTTTGACACTAAATCTACAGACACTGTAGAGGTGAGTTATCTGTGAATTACAACAGTTTATCAACAGCTTATCTACTGCTAATCCAATTACTCTGCATGGCTTCGCTGTTGCGTGGCTCTCAGTCCTCTCAGGCTCAAGGTGGGCAGTAATTCATATGCACTGCTATAGCTAACACTTGCAGGAAAGACAAGCTCTAAAAATTCTCCTAGAGGAGGATGAGTAAATCACTGAATATCCCATGAGTAATTGAGATGCGGTGATCACTGGTGCAGGCAGGATGTAATCACATTTTATTGACAACTTCTAAAGATCACTTTTCCTTTGAAGCTGCCTAGAGTGAAGCTGAATAGAGCGTAGCTAGAGGCCTAATGCAACATACAGTGAGGAGACCTGATCTGGCACCAAATTAGCTGCTTTGGGGTAAGGGAAGCGTTACACGGCATTTAGCATAGCGCTGAGCATTGGCCTGCGTTCACTGCTGTGAATTTACACCATATTCTTAAAGAACCATTTGTAGAGAGTGTGTTTCATCTCAGAGTATGTTATCACAGCTTTATATACACCTTCATGCAATACCGGAAAAACAGTGACAAGAATCTTAAAGACAGGCTGCTACTAGGTACCAAACAACCCTGAAAGCAATTCCACTTATCACAATAAATGGGATCTCAAATATACTTGGCTGAAACGGATATAAATTCTTCAGGTGTGTTGAAACGTAAAGTGAGCTTTTAGATGGTGGTTTGTGTATTGGTGTTAACATTTTTATTCTTTCTTGCAGGAGGTGAAGTCACCAAGCCGAGATTTGCTCAGTATTTCCACGGCAGCCTGGCCAGTCTCACGATCCGGCCAGGCAAAATTGAGAGTCAGAAAGTGATTTCCTGTTTGCAGGCCTGCAAGGAAGGTCTGGATATTAACTCTCTTGAGAGTCTCGGCCAAGGAATAAAGGTGAGGGATGAACCAACATCATCTTTGATAAAAATTTAGGGCTGATTTATGAAGTAGAGAGCCGAAGGTAGAGTATACACAGTGCAAATGTGCTCCCAGAAGCAGTGTAATTTCCCATAAAGTCATGCAAAGAAAAAGCAGAATGGTAGAAGAGCTGTGACACTGCAAAGAAAAATGTTTCCATTACTGCGAAGCTGGATGCTCAGAAAGTCAGGCACTGCTGATATTTCAGAGTCTGCAAGAATTGCCAGGTCGTGTTCTCATGCTTATTTTGGTAGTTTTTCAGAAATAGATACGATTCCAAAGAATTATTGAATTTTTGTATTAAGTAGTTTTAAAGCAATGGAAAACATAAGTGGAGTATTTTTCATCTAGAGGCAACTGTGACAGAAGTCCCAGTGCAGTAGTATTGAGAAACCTGAAGTGTGTTGCAAGAATTCTATCTTCCTTATGCATGTAACTATTGATATTGTAGCACTTTTTCTAAGATTGAGCAACAACAGGCAGAGGGAAATCCTGTTCTGGTTGTCACAGTGGCCAGACTGCTTTGCATTAAGACGAATTCTGGTATTTTGGATACACGTGTAGGATCTTGACTATAACTTCTGCAGTGCTTACCTGAGATGTACTGGCAGTTTCCCTCTACCGAAATCATTATTAGATGACAGCTGTTCCTCTGCCTGATATGTAAGCACACTGTTAAGCTCTTTCTGAGCAGACAAATGGTAACACCACCTCCCAAAGGAGCTGAGCCTCAAGTTCATACTGGGAATATGCTTTGGCTGCAGACTAAGCATCCTGTGTAACAGCACAGGTGGTTCTTTAGCGTGTCCTTTTCTAGTGGGGAGGAGGGTGGTTGATCTAGAGCATGCAGTGGAAGTGCCAGGAACTACATTTTATTAGCTAAACCTTTTCATTGTACAAGATAGGAGACTGACCTGAAATACACTCCAGTGTCTGTCTAGGTGATAAGTTGCAGTGGTGTACTGAAAACAAGGGTAAAAATGAAAACTGAAAAGTGCAAAGGTAAGGAGGAGCAAAACACAACGAAGAATTTTTCTTATATTTCATCCTACCAAGGACATCATTACAAATTTCACATGGTTGCTTCCCCCAGCAAAATGGCACATGTAGGAGTAAAAGCTCTTTTATAAGCCAATGAATACAAAGAGCAGGTAGGCTTTTCTGGAATGCAAGTGTATATGCCCACCAGTAAGTCCTTTGGTGGGATTTTACATACACCTACAGCTCCAGCATGGCTGATTGGCTTCCCTCCTGCACTAGTGGAGCAGTGGGGCAAATGAAGGTGAGGGATTGTTTTCTGCCTTTTCTTTCACCTAACTTTAAATGATTTTCATTTTCTGAATTACAGATGAGGCATAGTGGGGGGGGGTTAAGTTACTGTTTTCATTTTTACTTTCTCAGCAAGCTCAACAGTCAGTGCAGCAGCAGGAAGCAGAAATGAAAGGAGCAGGCAGAGATGGATTGTGGTGGGGTTTCTTATTAGGGCTAATTGGCTCAGATGAAAGCAGAACTGTTGGCACCTGACCTTGAACGGAGGATTAATAGAGAAGGGATTTCTGGTGTCAAAAATAAACATACCTGATCTCAGACAAGCACATGTGACAGTTGCATGGGTGGTATGTTCTGTGTGGCTGTGTACATGGTGCTCTGCAGATTCAGTGTTGGCAAACCGATGTTGGAAGGTGTTTCTGCTGGGCATTTTGGACTCGTGAAGCTTCAGGCTTGAGCACCTAAGAAAGAGCAATGCAGCTGTAATACAGTTTCTGGCACAGTAGTGTTGGACTTTTTTTGTTTGTAACCTAATTTTCAGGTATCTGTAACAGCTCTCAGAAACACTGTCTGAAGTGTCGCTATTTTTAGCCTTTTTTAATGAGAAAGACAAAAATGGCTCAGACTGGGGCTTTCTCCGGTCTCTTTGGCAGCATCCCAGCTGTTGTGGCAGATGAGCTATTAAGTTAACTAGCTAGCTACGGTCTCCTTTCACTGGTTTTATTCTCTGCTACTTCTAGCATACAGAAAGGAAAGCGTATGCAGACCACGACTCATCTTGGTCCTCCTCTTTGTTAAAAAATACCCTTCTGTGTGTTATGACCTTCCAGCGCAAGCTTTAAATCTAGTCCTCTATGTTCTGTTTGACAGAGAGCCCTGTGTTTCATTCTGTTCTTCACAGCCTTTTTGCTTTTTTGCTTTTTAACCTTTCTCATTGTAAGAATTGTAGACAGCCATTGCCTGTATATAATAGAACATGTTCAGCTCATCAATATCCAGTTTTAGGAAGGGACTGCATATGAGAGACAGGTGCATTTCTTCGTGTTTTGTGGTGACAACAGTGGGGTACAAAATCAAGGGGCTAATCTGGTTTCCTCTGCAATGCAGATGGTTTCCTGAACCAATTAACAGACAAAAAGTAGAATCAGGATTAATTATGATGAATATAAAATCAATACTTTGCTATGTTAATACAGTAGCAAAGGTTCTTGGTCAGCAAGACTGTTTCATACTCAATGCAACAGACTAGGGAAGGATCGGGGTGACAGGAACAGCCATTGACTTTGCAAGGTTTGTTGGCTCAAATGAGCAGCTGAGTTGTGCAAGTAGCAGCTCCATTTTCAATGATGACACCGTTATTGATCACGAGACAGAGAAAGGAGAATCCCCTTTATTTTGTCTGACTTGAATGAAGATGGAGGAGGAAAATACTATAATTGTTTTGTTAGTTCATGTGGGAATATATCTCTGAAAGATAGCCCAGGGTTAAACCACACAAGAATATCCTTCTGCATGCTACTCTGGTTTAAACCAATATATTTGTATGGGAGATGTGTTTAACCTAAAAAATGTACATATAATAATAATGACAGTAAGTTAAGGTTTCAAGCTCCACAGCTGCAGAAGTAGTATCAGCAAAATTGATAAGGCTGGGCAAAGCACAATAAACTGGGAATTAGTTTACTATAAAATTAATTATAACAGTAGTTATTCATATAGGAAATAGATGACTCATATGAGTACAGGTTTTAGGGAACAACGTGTGGATTCAGCCAACAAAAGCTCATAAGAATTTTTTTATCTTAAATCGTTAGATTTAATGTGCAACATTACTTAAAATTTTATACTCAGTGTGTGGTTCCTTATGCTGATTATATGCATTTCCCCCTAGTATCACTTCAACCCTTCCCAGTCAGTCCTTGTCATGGAAGGAGATGACATTGAGAATATAAATCAAGCTCTCCGAAAGGTCTCATACATCAACTCTAGACAGTTTCCTACTGCAGGCGTACGACGTCTCAAAGTCTCATCTAAAGTCCAGTAAGTTATATTCATCTGAACTGATAAGATTGGGAATATTTTTAATGAATTACTTTGGGGGGGGGGCACATGTGAAAAGAATTTTTGCTAACTTACATGGTGAAATCATACTTTTATGTTATTGAGCAGAAAGGATTAATTTGATTTACTTTTATGCTGATTAACATTGTGGTTTTATTTTGATATTGTCCTTTTAAGACACTTTCCTTGTTCGTGTCATTTTCTTGCGTTCTATTTACAGTTTGGACCATGCAGTGTGGACTGAACAGTGCTTGCATTCATTGCATTCTTATTTTACTGTTCATTGCAAAAAGTTACAGTTTCTTCTGAGCCAGCTAGAGCTTTGACTTTTTAAAGCAGGCCTATTATATATAACAAACAGATGATGTATCTGCAAGAGCAGTATTTGTAGCTATGCTTGGAATAATTTTTGTCTGTCTGTGTCCTTATATGGCTGTAGTCATGCAGTACTGGGTGTTGAACCTGTGTCCTTTCATTTTCACGTAACAATAGTGACAAAACCTGCACAATAGTGTCTACACTTCTACATAATCAGAGCCATCTGCCACTGCTGAGCTTCCCTGGGTACATCTCTTACAGCAAGTTGCACAGTGCAGTGAAAGCAGAGCCTTAGAGTGAAAATAAACATCATTTCTACAAGCCCTTATCTACTGCATGTACAGTTCTTACTAAGTACTAGGTTCAGTCTAGTTCTGTGGGCTGACCATGCTGTTTGGAGACCATCTTCTGATGCAGTTTCACTGGAAGCAGTCCAGTTTCCAGGGCTGGCTCAAGCCTTGTGCCAAGGTCAAAGGTAGAGTTTGTCAGGAGATTCAATTCCAAAGCACAGGGCTGATTCAGATTAAAATGCTAATATAGGCCCTTTTTGTCCCCAGTAAATACTGCGGGGGGTGTGCCGTAATGAGTTCATGTTAAATGGATAATTAGGGGCCGTTTTATTCACACATGACAAGGTAACATTAGATGCCTCTAAGAGAATTTGATGTTAGGTTTACTGAAGTTAGTTGTTACCATCTAATTTACTGTATCTGGTTTTTAACCATTCACTACTTTGTTAAATGTCAGTTAAACATCAAAATATTATTCTCCGTGACCTTACTAAAGACTGAGCTTGTCATGAATCTGTATGCTAAGTTGTCCCCGTGTAATTTCTGTGGTTGTGAATGTGGGAGGGGATGTGCTGTTACAGCCAGTGCTGGCCTGTGTACATGGTGGTACAGATGCATGTGTCAAAGTATGGGCTGGGCTAATTTGAGTCAAAACAAAATAATCTGAGTCAATGCAAAAGGAAGACGGCCATTAGATCGGTTTTGGGCTGTGCAAGTGCCACACACCTCTGATGTGCAATGTGTTACATGCAGTTAATGAATAATGTCTTTTTTCAGATGTTTTGGTGAAGATGTCTGCATTAATATCCCAGATATAGATGCGTATGTAATGGTGTTTCAGGCCAATGAGCCCAAGATTACGATAAGTGGGATGGACCACTTTGCTAGACCAGCTGCACAATTTGAAAGTGAAAGAGGAGTTATTTTGTTACCTGACATCAGAATTGTCAGCACAGTCACTAAAATGGAGCATCCAGTGGATGAAGATGACAGAGGTTTGTGGATTTCTTTTAAATATTTATTATTTATTTGCTTGTTGTTAGGGTTGGAAAGGAAAGATCGTCTAGTTCCAAAATATTATTACATACTCTGTTATGTAAAGGATAGTGCAGACAAGCAATATGAAGTCATTTCACTCAGGCTCATTGAGGCAATGTAATGCCACAGTATTGCTGGACTGAAGACATTCAATTAAACACAGTGTTAAATAGTGACAGAGCAATAAGTGCTTCAGAAAACCCTGCTTTTCCACTTAGTGTCTTGTTAACTTCAGAACAACTCCTTTACACTCTTCTTCACATATTCCTTTGAAAACATCTTTTCATTAGAATTCACTTGTAACAGAATTTTGCCAACTGTACTGATAAACTGGAAAGCAGTAATTGACTAATAGCTGGAAGTTTATTCTTATGTTCTCAGCTCTGCTACTGACTAGGTGGGTGGTACTTGAGAAATCTTGTGCCTCAGTTTCCCACATATATAATGTGGTAATAATAATCTGCAAAGATTTTTTTTTCAATGATGACAGTTTATTCTAATGCTGAGCAATGTGTATGTTATTTACTTATATTTTTGAACATTCACCTAGTGTCAAATAATGTTTTAAAATCATAGATCACAGAATGATCTATAATTGTCTGTAAAGGAATCTTCCTTTTGGATGTTTGTGTGCAAAGTAAATGAAAAGCTTAGTAATCTAAGGAATCATCCTAAACAGTATTTCTGGGACTGTAGTAAGCAGCAACTAGATGTGTCTGTTTTGAAAAGATAAATTCCCTAATGATGTGCAAGGGTAGCAGCATGGATTCCCTGGAGCTGTGCTCTGTAATAATGCTGCACATCACTTGCCTGAAACTGCATCTGTCCTCTGAATGCTGAAAGTGTATCATAGCCTTATACCAACTGCATACAATTGCAGTGTATAAAGAAAAATGAATTCTTCCCTAGAAAAAGAGTGATTGTTACCAATCAATCACTTACGACACAATGCACATATGATGCTCCACATCCCTAAATGTTAGGACATCTTCAGAACTGTTCAGTGAATTAGGAACTCCTGTTCTCCATTCCATTCATTAATTCCATCTTCTCCAGTTTTTTCCAATACAATTATTGACATCATTACTGTTTATAACATAAAAAGCCTTTTAGTCTCACCTTGAAAAGGAACATAACAGCATTTCTTAAACTACTGCTTAATTCTTGAAAGTCAGGCACCTACTAATGTGCCGTCTCTTGTTTATTTCCACTGAGAGTGGTTAAAATGGATAGATAATAATTGGCTTTGGGGATAAGTATGTTTTGCAAAAGATTATTGAATTCCTGCATTATAAGCTTGAACCATTATTTCTCTCATCCCAGATATTATCTGACAAATCACAGTCTGACTTTTTGTATACATTAAAGCTGTACCTAAAGTTCAGATAGATACCCAAAATCCACTGTACCAGGAGTTGGGAATTTAGGGTGTAAGTAAGTCTTTTTTGGCTGTGCCTGCCTTCCCCTATATACCCTCTAAAATGAAAACCACAAAACAGGCACTGAATTCCAAGACTGCAGTCTCTGTGTCTACAGTACCCTCAGGGAGCTGCTAAAGCAGTCTTGCCAGACACTCTGTGCTAAGTCGATGAGAGAATTTAAATAGTAAATTGATATGCTACTCTTCTTCCAGCAACAGAGGTTTTTTTTCTAATCATACCTACTGAAGTATAGTCAGTTAACAACTCTTTCTCCGAGTCACGCATTTATGATAATACCGTGTTCTTGGATAGATGACCATGTTCTTTGTAATGCAAAGTCTTTATGGGCCATAGAGTAACTGAGAGAATCATCCAAGCAGAGATATACTTGACATTTATTTTTCCAGTTTGGTTTCCCTTGAGAGAAGGATGAATGAATGTGTGATACCAACCTACTATCAGTATCAGTACAGTACTGAAAATCACACCTGTTTACGTGGATTTATTTCCAGCATCAAATTTCAATTTTCTACTTCCAGTACAACTCTTGAATGCCTTTTATTACAGAGCAGTGTATTTTCTGTATCTATCTCACTAGGCAGTTGTAGGCCCTCATCAGTGTAGCACCTGAACAGGCAAGACACCTCTTTTGATTTGCTTCAAGTGTGCTGTATTTAATGTTGGCAAAAAACAATTCAACCATTTTTGCAAAAAATGATGCAAAGCCCTGATGCAAAACACATAAAATGACTGAGCTGTTCTGTGATCGTTCGTCTTAGTTTGTTTCTTCTTTTTTCATGGTATATGCCATTTGTTCACAGCCAATAAGCCAGTGGTATTAGAGGAAATGCTGCACAACTTGGATTTCTGTGATGTTTTGGTCATTGGCACAGAACTAGATCCTGAACATGAGTGTTTAGAACTAGATCATGTGGAACTTCAAGGAAAACATCTAGATGCCACAAATTCCACAGCAGGATATTCCGTCTATGGTATGTTCATGGACTTTGCTTTCCCTTATTTCATCCCACCAATAATTATGTTACTGGAGTAGAAAGGACTAATGGGGAAGAAATTAGACAGAAATCTGTGATGTACTAGCCATAAAATCTTCCAGGAGAGACTATGTCTCAGAAAACATAGTCACTTTTTGGTCTCTGTGTGTGCTATTTATCCTTTGGAATACAGCACAGCTTTGTCTTGATCTTGGCATCCCTCCTCCCTCCTGCTACTCCCCAGATAGGGAAAATAAATAGCAACACTGCTGTCTTTAAATGTGGGGTTCTTACAGACCATCAGGGTTGAACTGGACATGAGAGGATTCCTCACACAGTGCTGTTAACTCATTAGCCAGTTTTTTCAATTACTAAACCATTTATTCTAAATCTTTGCTGTTGGATTTATTCATCTCCATTATGGATCTGTAGTAATTTCCCAAAACTATTCTCACATAATTTAGCATCAGCCAGAGGCTCCATCAGGGAATATTTGAGGCACTACCATCTTGACATTATTCTGCCAGATTTTGTACTTCCTGAGCACATACGATTTCTGCTGTACTGCACAGAGCATTTGTTACATAGCATCTCCATGAGATTATTACTGCTATACCTCCATTTCAGGTGTGGACAGCATGAACAACTATGAACAGGTTCTCCGGCAGATTCGCTATCGTAACTGGGACACTTCTGCCACCTTTGACAGGAAGTTCAGAGTCAAGTGCTCAGAGCTAAACGGACGTTACACTAGCAACGAATTTGACTTGGAGGTAAGCAATCATTTAGTCAAGTCCTCTTTTCTAGAGGGGAGGCTGAGCTCTAGCCTTATTTTCAGCAACACTGAGTTTTCTCTAAAGTCAGTAAAATTACAGACAAGCTCTGTGTAACTATAGTCAAATAGAGGAAAAAGAAATTCTAAGTTCCATTCAAAGAGCAAGTTGACATCCCCTGTGGGCATTTCTCAGTGTGGGGGTCTGTGTTCTGTAAGATGACAACCCTTTTCTGCATTAGTGGAGTGTTGCTTCTCCTCAGCCAGAATGGAAACTAAGGTCATCATTGTTTTTCCATGACATAAAATCTCCTACAGTTCTTTCTGAAGATTCATACACCTGCTCAAAAGTAAATCATTACAGCCTCATTGTTTTCCTTAGATTAATTATCTTTCACTTATCCTGACACAATTTTCTTTCCTGCAGCATTCACCTTTGCAGGTTTTCCAAGTGCTGCCCCCTTAGAATAAGTTGTACAATTTGTTCTTCATCAGATGGAGATCATTCACTCCTGGTTAATTTACATGATTTCAGTTCTCTTTGAGGAGGAAAGTCAGTATACAGGTAATAAATGCATTAGCTCCAGTACCTAGACATGGTCAGTTACCACAGGAATATTTAGATAGCACTCTTGAGCTTATATATGCTGGTCCTATGTCCAGCACAGCACAATGGCTTCTGGTCCAAGAATTACTGCTGATGCACATCTGAAGAACCAGCTTATCCAACCAAGAAACCAGGTAACATGTAAGTACAGGAATGGGCAGGACCTTCTTAGCAATAGGCTCAAAGTTTTGAAATGTTCATGTTGTACTGAAATTTCTTTTCACCTGAGCATTCTGCAGCCCTGACATTAACCTCGTTTTTGCTTCTAACATAATTAGTGGTAAGACAGAGAACTTCAGAGATCTTCAAAGAAAGTCACTTTGAAAGTAGGGATGCAGGAAAAACTGAAACCTCTTAATTCTCTCTTACTGTTTTGGTTTTAAACTCATCCAGTTCAATACATTCTCTGTCAGTGTGACTCATCTCCCACTAACTTTCAGGGAACAAGCTGATTAGTGTAGGGGGAAAAAAAGTCCACTGGTTATCCAGACAAGTAAATCAAATAAATCCTTTTAACCTATGTATTTTTCACTGGCATAAAAAAGTGAAATTTGCCTTTAATGTTTCTATAATTATGTTCCTATCTATCTGCTGATGAACCCCATAGTTCAATGTAAGACATATATAACTGTCAATGTAAAATATGTTTCAATGTAAAATATGTATGTTATATTACATATAATCAATGTATGTGTAATTATATATACATATTAATATATAATATAC